TCTGGGTTGTGAAGAAAATATTGAATTATATTAGCTATATGATGGTGAGTGCTGGTAAATTTTTTGAACCAATAATTGTGCAGGCATCACTGCCTGGTGTCTTCCGGTTTTGTGCTTTGTTCAAAGCTGTTTGGACAATTTTCACGGTGATGATTAGTTCACCCATTAGAGGTATATCTCGGTGTCTGTCATATTCCAATTCAATCCACGTCATATCTGGGTTGTGAGACACAGCAGATGAAGATAGGCTTCCAAACGTCCTCTTTCTGTGCCTTTGAGGGAAGCTTAGACTCTTTCATATCACTTACAAGCCCTTTGCCCGTTGGAAGATTCCTGTAGAATGCTTTCTGGTTTCTGTTTAAAAGAGTATTTTGTTGTTTCCTCGTAGTGCAATTCCGGTAGCGTCGAAGGCGTTTTGTTAACGCCAAAAGCTTTTGTAGTAGGGTGTCAATATATTCTGTTATTCTTGAATTCAAGGGCTCGTGCTTCGTATGTATTTTGTATTGATAAGGATGTTATTCACCTTCTCAGGTTTTCTGAGGTATTTCTTTTTTTAAATTGTGTGAGTCCCAATATCTCTCCTAGTGCGTTCTGTACGATTCACCAGCCGTCTTTCCCAAGGTGGCATTCTTTTTTCACTTCGATCATTGTGGGCAGTTGCTACGCTGAAAAGCTTGGAACCGTTACATCTTGAAGCCAGTACATGCAGCACAATAAATTTCTGTGTGTACATCTTCGAATGATGGTCTTTGTTGTAGATGTTGTGGCAGTACTTTGTCATTCAAGACGCTGATTGCTCTTGCTAATTTCTTCGAGCAATTTTGTCTGGGAATGAGATAGCGGTTCAGTGGGTCAGTTCCTTCAAATTCCGCAAGTGCGACTGCAAATTCATTGCGAATTTGCTCCTCTTCACTACTCTTATCAACCATACCTTCTAACATGCTTGTCCCATTGTCATCCTGAGTTTGCACAGCTGATATACGCATGATGAAGGTATTTATTTCTGTAGCCCACTTCATCCTTGTGCGTTGCCTGCTTGCGGCAGTGGTCTCTGGAAGCAATAGATTGCTTGCAGACACCACTGCCGGGAAGCACTTGCGGCAGGTGCAGCTATAAGTGGAGATGGATGGGTGCTGCTATGTTCGGCTGTAGTATATTCGGGGTCAATGAAATTTTGAAGGGGGAAGGAAGGGGAATGATAAACAAGGGGTAGTTTGGGGGAGCCGAATATGAACCGGCAATTGATAGGTATAATGAAGATTCCATTGATTAAAAAATGATAAAACCTTGATACTTAATTCTATTCTACTATGTAGCAACAACACATCATAATAAAAAATTACAAATTCGCTTCTCCTCTAAGTGAGGGGCCTGTAATAAGGACCCCCACGACATAGAATCAAATATCGGCAAAGTCTAAAACAAATTGCACTCCATGCTTATTTTGTCCATTGCACCAGCCATATTATTATACGAATTAGATTTAAATATCTTAATTTGACGTTTCTTGCAGATAGGAGGCCCCCTTTCTATTTTCTGCACTGGACCATCCCAGAATCCGGCTGCGCAACTACTTAGGATGTTTAGAAAACTCAATAAATTATAACTATGGATTGACAACAATGTTCTATCGCGGAAGAATATACTCCTTATATACCTCCCCCCGGGAGAAACGTTATGGACAGGAAAATCCACGCAACATTTTGAAACCATTGCACAACAACGAAGATTAGAAACTTAGCAACTCAAAAGCGGAAGAGTATTCGTTTATGATAAATCTAGATGTTTATCAAAATACGGTATTAGATTATTATCTTTGAGACTAGCGTCGCTGGCCGAATTCGATTACTACGCTCCATGAAGTCAAGGAGGTTAAGCGAATACGAGACTTCGCGGATTCCTGGATGGGTGACCGTCTGGGTATCCCGACAACAAACGGCGCCGAGCCCCTGACCGAAGGGAGAAAAGGCACCGACTGACTGCGACGTGGCAAGACTTATAAACTCGTAAAAAATAATCAGTCCACACCAGCGCTGAACGCCCAACAAGGGTTCGGAGACGCGTTGCGTCAACGAAGACCCTAGACAATTAAGGGCCCCTCTTTGTGTTATTTTTTATGGTATGTTACAGAGAAAAACGGAAGTGGGAGTCGAGATGAAGCCAACAAGTCGTTTAAAAGGTGTCGATGAACGAAAAGGGTTAGGTTGGGAATCCATGCTCTAAGGGAACGGCTATTTTTGAAACCTGCAAAAAACGTTGCAAAAGAACAATACTATTGAATAAGTATTTTCCTGAATGAAATCTAGTCGGAAAAATTAAATCACGAATTAAAATTGTGTACAATTTTACGTATATGAATAGTTTTCGTGGAATTGGTGCTTGAAGGAAAGTCGATATATGAGAACTATTTTCTCAAAAACTGTTTTCAATTTTTTCTTTAACTTTTTTACTCGGATAGAGCAAAGGGCACATCATGGGACAGGTTTCGTTTTTGTTAAACTCTGAATTTACGAAAATTGTAAAAGTTACAAATATGAGAACGTATAAGCTGTTGTAGTTTTCTCATCAGTCATTAGTTTTCATATTTGACAATGGTATTACAAAAAAGTATTCAACTATTCAAGTTTGATTCTATAAAAACAGTCGCGGTTGATATATGAGATTTATCGGCATAATGACGTTAATAACTATTCCGAACGGTCCCTTGCATTTATCGACGAAATTGAAGACAGATCACATTTCCCCTAACTGCCTCATTTTTCCTGTTCCTGACGAAGAAGCTTTTGTTGCTTTCTGACACATTCTGACCGCCCAGCAGTCAAGGCAAAGGCCCGAAGAAGTTGCGGACGTTTAAATTCTTTTAGTCTCCAACGCTATTTCTTAAATTGCCGCGATAAATTTGTTGTAAGAATGATACCACGAGATTACCCCCAAATTGGCAATTGTCGCTCTTTGAAACTAACTGAAGGAATTCCACTTGAATTGCCCCAAAACTTTTTTAACTCCAGGTATTGTTCTTATGTTACTTCATCGCTAATTTAAGTCTTTAAAATATTTGAATTTATAATCATTGACGCATCTGAAATGTGTAGTCCTTTTGAAACGGTGATATTCTCCACTGGGAGGCCATTTTCAGATTGAAAATTATAATTATTTGAGCATTCAGAGCCACATCAATAACTTGGCCAAATACTGTGTAGTGGTTTCAAAATTGTTTTGGGTCTCCACCATTTTTTGGATAATTCAATTTTTTTCAGAAATGCAATTCTTATGAATATAAATGATGAACTAATTTCTTCTTAATTTTGATTCACTTAATTATAATATTTAATGTAAATTTAAATATAATTTTCCATAAATAATTTTTCATTTAAATTAATATGGAAATATGTTTCTGAAAGTTATTTACATTTCTTGTAATGTTTATTATTTTTTCTACTTTTGTGAACTTAATTTTAAAAAAATCAAAATAAAAAGACTATACACAAATGAATATAATAAATTTGGGTGCGGAAAGCTAATTTATTTTAAGGAAAACGTACGGTTCTGATTCTGTAAGCAATTCATGTGGAGGAAAAGTCAAAACATTGTGACATTTCCAAAAAGTGACTGTGCCTTTGAATGGGAAGTTTTTAGTAAATAGGATAATGAATGTTGATGTTATTAATGATTGAGTTATTCTGATAAGAGAACATATTTGGATATTGAAGGAAATTGGTTGTAGAATTTTCCACTGCTACCTTCACTGGCTCACCTAAAAATATTGCTGGTCATCTTCGATAAATGGATAAATTTACTTAAAAAATTAAATTTATTTAAGTAAAAGCTCTAATTATTTTATAAAATAATAGTCCTTTATGAACATTTTAAAGTGAAAGTGCTGAAGTTTTTGGCTGTGCTAAACCTTTTTTTTCTCTTCTTCTTGTGGGATTCTCATAAAAATGTGTCTAATTTTGTTTCACAATGAGTCATTTCACTTATAAACAAATGATTTTTATGAAACAAAATTTTGGAAGCAGAATTTTGTGACAACTATTTTCATTCATTAAAATTTAGATTTGATGAATCTGGTCGTTTGAAGTTTTGACGGGTATGTGAATTAGAATGTATGAATCATGAAACAATTTAGTTTTATTTTCCTGCACTTTGATACTACATTTCTATGTTAATAATTCATGAATTAATTTTTGAGCATCTGAAAACGTTGATGAATCATTGTCAAAAAACTTGTAATTCCAGTGGATATGATGTTTCAGATGACTTTTCTGAGCCTGAAGCATTTTAGTGGAGCTTTGTCATGAGACCTGCTTTCAAGGTTCTTAATGACTAATCTATGCATATGACCAACTTGCATGTATGAATCATAGTATTTGGGGTCATGGATGATTTATTCTTACCACAAATCTACTGTATGTCATTATTAATAATACCTTCTAATCCAGTGTTCTGTTTTGTCTGTTAATTCCTCTTAGTTGAAGGAGAAAAATATATAGAAGTCGTGTGTCAGAAAATATATAGAAGTCATGTAGAAGTATAATGACAATTATTTTTATTTCAATCTCAGAATTTTATCAACTGAACAGTCATATTATTTATTTAAACAATGTATGGGATTTCATTTTGAATGAGAATTTCAGAAATGTTATGCTGTTAGAATTTCGTTGATGTAATTAAATTAAAGTGATAACATTAATGTAGGTTCAAGAGGAAAATCTGTGAATGTAATGAGCCAAAACCTAGAAGGAAATCATTTCTCTGTGAATTTATGCTTTAGAATTATTTAAAGATAAGAGTAATTATAAACAAGAGATTTTATAGCAAGTTGTGATTTGTCTTAGACAGAAAGAGCCTAGTTTCCATTTCAAAACGTACAGTTCATTTTTATAACTGAGAATATAATGGAGGTAATAGAAAAATATTATGATGTTTCTGTCATATGATAGTAAATTATACGTTGATATCTATGTTAAATTTTTTGTTACAGGTACAACCTGGCGTACATTATCTTCTATCTCCTTGGCATGACCACATTGCTGCCATGGAATTTTTTTATTACTGCTGATGATGTAAGAAATTTGTTTGGAGAACTCTTATTTACGTTTTCTCTTCACTTTATAAAGTTTGTTTTAGATATTTAAAATCTAAATTTATTACTGTTCTCCTGACCTGGGAGAATTTTTCTTTTAGAAATCTCAATTTTTCTGCTAAACTTCATTCATCTGCACAAGCTAATGCAATTCTTGATTTTGATTACATTTTAGTAATGCATTTTATTACTTTAGTGTTGATGAGCGATGGTTTAAATTACATTATTTGGTTACTTTACAATTGCTGTTCAAATTTAATTAACTTTAAATTTCAAATAAAAGCACTGCTCAAAAGAAAAGAAAAAATAATCAAATTTCATGAATAGAAAAATAATTTTTTAGAAGTGTAATTAATGGGGAATTTATCACAGCAGGTGCAAGTGTGTTTATTTATTCTGTTGTAAGAGTTCGTTTTCTGAGATTTCTTTCTTCTTTCACTTTTATCAGTCTATTTAGCTGCAATCTTAGCTTACATATCTGTAATGTTATGTTTCTCCTCTCCAATGTTTTTCTAGTTTGTGTTAAAACTTTTTGTATTGCTTTTACAACACTTTAATTTTGTTCTTCAGTGTTTAATTTTCTTACTATGTTTATTAAAGTTTATGTATTAACTTAAATACATTGATTATATTCATTTTAAATTATGAGATGGATAATCAATTTTTTAAAATTATACGAAGCAAAAACAATTGTTGTATTTTCCAGTATTGGATGTATAAACTGCGTGATGTTCATTCCAATCAAACTGATGATGGAGGCAGCCGCACTGAACTTCAAGCTGGTTTTACTTCCTATCTGAGTGTTGCTTCAACTGTTCCTAACACACTGTTTCTTGTACTTAACACAATGCTGAGTCAGAAGTAAGTGGTTTATTGAATTTTCTTAATAATTTTAATGTATGATTTTAATGCAAAACCTTAATTCATAACCTTTGGGACTTCTATAAGAGGGGTAGTCAGTAGAGAGAGCATGCAAAGTAATCAATTTTTTTATTTAACTTTTTTCTTATTCTGATGGTAAATCCACTTTTATCCCGAGCAAGTCTGATTCAAGAAATATGAAATTTTCTCGTATAAAGAAAGGGAGTTGACCCATTAGAGAATAGTACAGGGATTCCCTACCCTTTTCTTCCATTGGCCCCTTTGTGTTTTGTGGTTTGCTTTGCCAATCCCTTTCATTTTTTCTGTAAGATATATAATTTCACAAATAATACCACAAAAATGTGTCAGAGATAAAAATTAGACAAAGAATAAGATGATAAAGAAAGAGATACAAATTTATAATGTGTTATTAGATGCTTTGAAGCTTAACGTAAGAAAACAATGTTATGAGCTTCATTATATTTTTGTAATCAATTGAATCCTGAATATATGCTGGTCAGTCACCAAGGCTATCAACTTGCAGTCCACCCCTTGTTCTTCCAAGACACCCCCCCCCCTCATTTAAAATTTCATCTACCCCAGGGGACACTGATGATCCTTTTGGGAACCATTGGTGTAGTGCCATTTGAGGATTCACATATCTGATGAGTTTTAAATGATATGGATATACTTTCTAAGTTTGATGATAGTTTGATAAGGAGTTTATATATGGCCTGTTTTTCGAAGAATATTTCTTATTTCAGAAATGTTCTATTTATGGCATTACTTTCTAATGTATTGCATTTCTCTGTATTGCACCTCAATATAAATTCTTAAATAATTTTTGAGTTACGTGAATTTTATTCTGACTGATGATCATTGCTGAAAGGCATAACAATAAGTATTTTTGTGACCCACGTTTTGGTCTTCATTGAGTGTTGTGAAACTTGTGTGTCCTTAAACGAGGTTTCATGGTTTTTGATATTATTATGATGTGGTGTCTTATCTGAACAGGAACAGACTTGATCAGTTTTTAAATTTGATACACAGTTCATTTTTGTAATAATGATGTAGCCAGCAAAAACTGGAATTTTAAAGGGGTTCTCTCATTCTTGTGATTAATACTGCTGGAAGGAATTATTAATATTTTATTGATCAATGAAAGAATTGTTAAGTATAATGGGCACAATGTTTGTCCAAAGAAAGCTAATTAGATTTGGCTGTCATTTGTGGGCACTTTGTGTAGTTGGTGTATGTGGATACCAATCTTGTCATCTACAGTGGAAAATTTTAAAATGATGTTGAGGTAGATAATTTACTTGTAGGATCACAAGTTGCTGTAGTAATGTTAAGATACAATATCTTACCAATCTGATACAATGACAGACCCTGAAAGCTGTGCAATATATTTGAAAATTTTTTTACAAGCAGTCTTCCAATAAGTCTATAAATTACTGACACAAACCGAAAAATTGTATTGGTCCAGTTTTACACAAATAAGTATGGCAGTTGTTAACACGTGGATAATGTAAAGGTATTATTGTAGTGAAGAAGCTTGTAACTTTTTAAATTTTACATAGTTAATGTAGCTAGTACCTTTTACTTGAAAGAGTACATTTGGCCTCCGATCACAGACGTGTAATTTCCCTCTTGAATTTAAGCGCTAAGACCTGGTGGCAAAGCATGAATGGAGGCAAAGTAGGTACTTGTGTTCCCATTGTAGAAACAATTTAAAATAAGTATTTTCTAGCATATATTTTCTGTGGAAAATAATCTTCAATTTGGAGTCTGTTTTCAAAGTGGAAATTCCATGTTGGGTGTTGTCATGCTGAGTCAGTGCCCTATTAAGAGGGACACAGGAATTGCAAATTACCCTCACTAGGCACATTTGATCTGTCTTTACTAGCTTGATTTTCTGTAAAGAAATCTTTCGTGCTCATTGTTGGAGAAACCTAAGTAAGGTTGGATGGGGAAGACCTCTTTTTCAACCAAGCACATTTCAAAACTCGGTGATTTGTCAGTGCACTTGAGGGACACAAGTTTAGTTTTATACTGTATAATTTTAGCTTATTAAATTATTGCATCAGGCAATGTTGCCCTTATTGTAGTAACATAGGTAGCAAGATAAGATAATCATTTCACCATATTCTCATTCTGATTAAATTTTCAAATATACTAATTTCCAATTAATAGTTGAGGAAGAAATGGGCTGCATGAAATTGTGGCCGAAGGCAGAGAATAGAGCTGTCAGGTATGTGGAAAGGGTAGATAGAGGGGGAGAGAATGAAATTACCTGACTAGGTCTTAAGTTAATTTACAAGGGACAGTGTGATGGAATGTCGGGGTGGGAACAGGAAAGGGAGGTATTTTATAATGAAGGAGGGTTTTTGTAGAGAGAAATTGTAAGGCTAAAGGGCAAAGATCAAGAGTAATGTGGAGTAATAGAGGAAAGAGAGGTGTATTCACATACAGCAGAATCACAGAATAAGTCCAAATATAGTATATAATTATAGCCAAATATAATTATAGGTTATATAATTATAGTCAAATTAAATTTTCAAATAAACTAAATCAGTTAATCGAAGTTTCATTGCAGGATTAATTTTTTAAGACTAGCAGAATTTCTAGAAGAACCATGCGTTTAGTTCCTGCTTTTAAGGTGTCCTTTGTAAAGAACATCCTGTATTCAAGGAAGGGATTTTGCACGAATTTGGGAAAACATTCCCCAATTAACATCTATGAGAAAGCAGTTTGTAAAGCACAAGATGAGGATGGTGAAGTTGTGTCAGTGGTTCCCACATGTGGTTAAGGTGTGGGAGGGCTTGACGCCATAAAGCAATATTTCTGTCTTCAAAGTAGATGAGAACCTCATTAAAAATATAACTAATTCAGATGGAAAACTACTCCTTTTACATGTCAAAAAGAGGAAGCAGACAGCTCTTCTTTACTTCTTTAAACGATGAAAGTAATTATCAAAGAAGTTTGCAAAAGGATGTAAATTATCCTTAAGATTTTTTTAATTACTATTTTCTTGTCTTTCAGGTTCATCATCCTAAATTTGATAAAATGAAATTTTGAATTTGGTTTTAATTAGAGTATATAATGTATAATATCTAAATTAATAGTTCATTATTCTGCTGTAAATTCACTTCTCATCTTTGTTGGTTGGAACCCCCTTCTAAGGAAATCCCTCATTTAAGAAAGAATTTAAATTTCTGAGCATTTTGTTAAAGAGGGGTTTTACTGTACATAGGAGGGGAGATAGGAAGGTGGAAAATGGATGTTAAGTGATAAGTAAATATAAAAATAAAGGTATGTAAGAATGTAAAAAGGAGCTATAGCTCAATATAAGAAGTTTAACCACATTAATTATTTTATGTTCCCCATGACGTGATGTCAAGTTACTTTGAGATTTATGTGTGTAATGTAGTGCTATGAATGTGAAGAGGTTACATGAGTGAATCCAACTAGGATCTGTAGTAGTGTCTAGTTGACAATAAAGGTAATACTGATATACCAAATCAGTTCTATCATAGATTATGGTACTAGTTGTTTAGTGTTTTATCAACAAATGTATTCATATTTTCTTGTAGATTATCATATAGGATTAAACAACTGTTATTCAAGTGAAATGAGGGATTGTATAGGTAAATTAACTAGTAATATATTAAATTCTTTTTATTAAAAAGGATTTTTGATATTATAATTTTTTAATTCAACATTTTAGAGAATTCGATGTAATTCTCGCTTTCAGTGCTGCATGAAAGAAAAATATATTTTGTACTTGTTTCTAATTTTTATTATAATAATTTGTATCATAATAACTTGTATGGTTTGTATGTATAACTCAAAAGTTTTCTAAAATTGTAGTCTTTGTTGAAATAATTAATGAATTAATTAATGTATGTTCTTATGTGTACTTATGTTCTTGTTTATCTTTCTTTATCCTAATTTCTCATTTAAAAATGAAGTGCTGTAATTATACACTACTGTATCAATGTGTATAATATTCTCGTACTTGTTGAAATAATTAAAAAATAAATAGTTAAGCTATTTGAGAATTTAGTGACAAAATTTGTGAGCAGTTCTTCTGCTTGAAATTTTGTAAAGAATTAAATGGAAAAAATAATTTAAATTTCAAGTAATTCAATCAATAAATTTCAATGCCTTTTCTATTGGATACCTTTATTGGAAAGTGAATTACTGCTTTGAAAAATTCTTGCCATCAAGCTGTTGAATACCCATCTGATTTTGTCATCTTTCATTACTGGTAAAGGCTTCATTAAATCAAGGAAAGAAAAACAGAGATGTGAATTGGAGAATTGGGAAGACAGGAAATTCTCTAAGTGTTTTGTGACCTTGTGAGAACGTTGCTTGATGTTCATTTCAAAAAGTTAAACAGCAAAAAATCATTTGAGTGTTTATGATTTAATATTTGCCACAATGTACGTAATTTACTCATTTACATGCAGCAGTAGTGGTACTTAAATGGATTCTTTACTGAAATTCTGTGCATGTGATGTTATTCAATAAGCTTGAACATAACATAACATAAAACAGATCCTGAATGAGAATCAATGAGAGTGAAGCAAAATAACGGATAAGTGGAATGAAATCAGTGATACAGTTAAATTGCAATAAAATATGTAAAACTATGTTTCAATACATGATTTTTCATGAAGTTCAATAAATAGTTATAGGGAAAAATCTCTAATTCTTTGTGAAGAAATAAATTGATAGTAGTGTTACAAGTGTGAATAATGAAGATACTTAAGGATGCCTTTTGAATGTTCAACCATTTGTAGTCAACATAAATATTCCACATGTCAGACGGCATCTGATAAACAATGGTACAACATTAATTTCCAACTTGGAGAGGGGCCTAGCCTTATAGGTCGGAGGGTATCTTTCAAATGCCCCCCTCATCTCCTAAACTAATCAGAGGACATCTCTGAGATGGAGGTGCTTTTTATGATAAATAATCTCTATTAACAATAATTTATGGGTCTGCAGGCTCAACCATAAGTTGATGATCTATTAAAATACTCATAAATACAGTTGCTGTCTGCAATGACAGAAAACCAGAGAGAAAAACTACAAATTATTTTTGTCAAATTTATTCTGGCAATCTGACTTTATCTGTGAATGATCTGAGCTGAAAAAATTTCCAAGTCATCCAAAATATTAACAAAAATTAGAAAGTAAAAATAATTTTGTATATATTAATATTTGTTATAAATATGGGGTGGATTTTGATGACCAAAAACATTGCCAAATATGATCAATAAAATGGTTTTAAAACGTTTTTAAAATGCTCTAAAAGCAAAGAAAAATGATGTGAAATATTTGACCAAAACCAGTTCAGATGAACAATACAAGCTGTTGGGTATGTTACTGCTGTAAATGAGGCTTCTTCCTTTCATTCAAGTGCACTCTGCTTGCAAACTTTTGGTTTGGACTAATTCTTTGCCAGAAAATTATCGCGTAATCAGCGGAACTGACAATAGGCGTCACAGGAACATTAGATTACTTACTCAGAATGACTGACATTACAATTTCTGAGCAAAAAAATAAAAAATCGGGCATTCTTTGTGAAACATTTGTTGTATTTCATAATTTTATTTGAAGCAAGTGCCATTAAAACGATATTAAAATGAATGAAACCAGCGGAAAATACTTTAAAAATGACAAAAGAATGTAGAAAATGACTTGCTAATAAAAATCGCCGGAAATAAGTATTCTATTTCATTAAAATCATCCCCTTGTTATAAATAATTAATTTTTTGCATCAAATTGAGTTGCTTATTTCTTAAATTGTGCAGTCAATAAATTCGGCTAAAGTAAGTCATTTTGTTTTTCAAAATTAGCACATGCGATTTTCAAAATTAGAGAAAAGATTCTCTTATTTATAGAACAAATTATTTGAGTATTTAGTTCATGGTGAAATTATAGCAAAAAGGATTATGGACAAGTTCAATACTGTTAAAAATATAATGCAGTAGGCTAAAGTGTTATGTGTGTGCTTGTGAGACTGCGAAACAATGTCCAAGCTGTTAGAAGTGTGGAGCATTCAAACCCTCCAAGTCATCTCACGATTTTCCTATATCATCTCTGATTTACCCCCTGATCTGTAAGACAAGAAACTGGTTTTAGGCACAAGTAGCTGAGAGAGGAGTTCAAGATATTGTCTCAGGAGATTGTAGAGATTTTAGTAATGGATTTTCAGTTTCATTTTGAGAAGTGATTTATCATCTTTGTTTAATGTTATATTTATCTTGTTAAATTTTCTGCTTTTTGTCTGCTAAAAATATTGATCTCTCTAATGACATTGTGACTTCATTGTTTCCTTTTATTTTCATGAATTTACTATTTGATATTAGACATGAATTTTTAGAAGTAAAAGTGTTGTTTAATAGAATCTAAGAAAGTGAAATATAGATTTGTACTGAGTGAAGATTGAAATATTTTGCAGAATTCGGCTTGGAGTTCGAATGATTGGATCATTAGCAGCCATGCTACTTCTGTTTGTGTTAACTACCGTTCTTGTTCGAGTCAATACAGATTCCTGTAAGTGTCTTATGGAATTTAACACTTTTTACTGCCCAGCAGTTGGTTTTTAATAAAATTGTATGAAAAATTATACCCCACTTGAATGTATTGTATTTGTTTTCTTGTTTTTTACAGGGCAAGAAATATTTTTCATTGTGACACTTACCTCTGTTGTGCTTTTGAATAGTGAGTATATGTTCAATCAATATTTATGTTTCTTTCGGAAAATTTTCCTGATTCCGTTTTTTTGTGAATTTTGCTGATACAAGCAGTAGTAGAGTTTATAAGTAAAGTTTTTCTCTGAAGAAAATTCGAGTAATTTTATGAAAGAACATGTGAAATAATTTCAAAAATCTTGAACTTTAAAAAAATATTTGTATTATTTATAATTGAAAAACAAGAGAAATGTCAATAATTTCTTATTATATCAGAAATTTCAAGTTTGTTTCAGGTCAATTTTACTGAAAAAAATTATTTTACATAATTAGACGTTTCCGGTTTTGTAGCCGTGGTCAAACGGACACTGGCTCCAGTTTCAGGCAAAACCTATGGACCGGTCTGTGTTAGACCTCGGCCTACAAACCCGGAAGGGTCTAATTATGTACAAACCAGCCATGAAAGCCTATATTGTATGTTAAGAATTATTTTAGTTTTTCCATATTGTGTTAATTCCTAGGGTAAGGTAATTAATTGGTAATTAAATGCTTTGTGCCTTTCCATATATTTAAATATATTTTTAATGTGGTAGTGTTCACTGTTAAGCCAGCCAGCTACATTGCTTTCTTAAAAATTAATGTAACAAATATTTTTTTTAGTTATAAATTAGTAATTAATAATATTCCAATTGTTTTATTTGATTATGCAGTAGTGGCTAATCCGATGTTGTGGATCGTAATCATTCATATCATTAAATTTCAGTTGCCAGTGCTGTCTTACAAGGTGGACTGTTTGGAATGGTGGGTCGCTTCCCGTCCCGCTACATTACTGCTGTTGTGAGTGGCCAGGCATTGGGAGGCATCTTTGCAGCCTTGGCTGAGATTGCTTCCCTGTGTCTTGGTGCTTCTTCCACAAAAAGTGCCTTTGTCTACTTCATGGTGGCCAATGGCATGCTTATTCTTTCGCTGATTGCATACGTGATATTAGCCCGTGCTGTAAGTGTTTTGGATTCCTATTGAAAATACGTAGTTCGTAAACAAGACTGATGAAGTGTCTTGATATAATAGTATTCCTATACATACCTAATAGTTTTTATCTTAAGCCTGTCTAGAAATTAGAGACTCAGAATGGGAAGAGAAAGGCTATTAACAGTGTTGGTGTGCCGTCTCTTGCATAATATTTTAAGTTGCCAAAGGTATATCTTTTGACAGATGTTGCTATTACATTACTCAGCTGGGTGTCTTTATTAGGAAGTGGAAATTAAAGTCTGCGATACAAGTGAATAGTTCCTTGAACTTTTTATTCAAAATAATTGCATTACATTATTTCTTCTCAGGATATATTTCATTCTTATCTTAAATTTCTTTCTAAAGAAATTGCAGTATTGCCCTCCCTCTAAAAGATGTTATTTGTGATGATCATAGATAAGTTGGTTCTGTAAGATGAGAATTTGTAAGATGAGACCAGCTTACAGTTTCATCCTTGATGATACTATAGTGGACCAGTAAAGTCTCTTGCTCTGGGCTGAGTCAGGCCTCCCATTAAAAATTTATGTTGGTAGCAAACAGATTGCTGGGAAAGAAGTGCAGGGGACAACACTTCCAACATCTGTTATGATTGTGAGAGTGTGGTATTCACGTTTCCTTTTTGTTACAAGCTGCTGCTCATGCTATCAACATATTTTTTTTTTTTAGTATAATAATATTTTGATTTATTTATTGCCCGTGACACCACTTTTTATTTGTGCTTTATTTAGTCAATAAATTCTCAGTACAATTCCCAGTTGCAGAGATCATTGAGGCAATAACATGGTGGTGATCTCAGAGAGATGGGCTGATGTTTCAAATCTTGCTTGGACATGGATATTTGTATCATGTGTCTTGACATGATGGACTCTTCCACTTGCCTTGCATCATTTTCCCTAGCCTGTCTAGGTAGTATAGGCATCCATGAGACATGTAAGCATTGCACGTGGACAGTGCCATTCCTTGTGCTTGTCTCCCTCCTGGCCACAGCTGGCTCTACCTGGATGTGGCCTTGTGTCCTCTATTCCATTATACTGAACTACTCAATTGGACCCATGGCTCACTCTTGTAATGTGTAGCAAGACACATTGAATATTTGGGGCCCACGGGCCACATCAGGTGAGGGAAAGGAGGAATTTGTAAGCACCATGGTAGCCTCACCTAGAGAAAGAGCTGGTCTCAGCAATTGGGGGAGTGTGATACAACCACCTGAGCAATGGTTTGTGTAAACCTTGGAAGAGGTAGAGAGATAACTAGTGCTTACATACCCACATGCATACAAATTCTCGGTAAAATTCATAATGTTTACTGGCTTTTTCTATGATTTGGATTTTTTGTAAATTTACCAGCCACATTCTCTCTCGTAATAGTCTCATGGTGGGCCCACTTGATGGACTCCTTTTCTCCAGTCTTCTGACTTCTGTATTCTTTTTATCATCGACCTTTTCTTACGTTTATTGTCTTTCATTTCATTTTATAAGAGTTGTATTTAATGATCTGTAGTAATTTTTCCACAATTGAGTTGAATGAAAAAGAGACTACTTTTAATGATTTGGTAAAAAGAAGGCATTTTAAATTGAAAATGATATATCATAAGCATATATTAGTTAATTTGAGGAGTGCAAGTAGTGTAGAGGTGTATGTACATCACTTTGGTACATCTGGCCACTTGCACAGAAGTTTTGAATGCTTATGATGCAGGAAAAGATTTTGGACCTCCCTTTTGTATGCAACTTAATTGAGACCAGGATTGTTCAACTTGGAGAATATTTACATGTCAAGATCTTTGATAGCTCTATTTTTTTCTTTTTACTGACAGGTTCAGATGTTTTTTCATCCTTAAATATTGGAATGTGGAATAATTTTAACTACTAATTGATCACAGCAATGTTTAGTGAGAAAGTATGTAGTAGAGAAATGAAATTTTTTAATCAGTGTGTTATTGAATGTAGAAATAATTTATTGTGTGCAACTGTTAAACATCAGTTTAAACATTTATTTCAGTGAGGAAGCATGTTCAAATTGCAGTCGAGCATGCAAGTTCTTTTCTTTATTTCCACTCATAAAAAATGACTTAGTCAATTCAATCTGCTTCCTCGTGTACAAATTTTCTATGAGAAAAGATTAATGGAGTATCAATCTGGGAGAGCCCATCTATGATTTTTGTTAAAAGATAACTTGTAGCGCAAAAATATTTTGAAAAGTGTTGTCAAGAATTATTATTGCCTAACTGTTCAGAAATGTATGTAACAATTGTTGTTATTTACTTGTTTGATAAAATACAATGTTACTTGTAATTGACGATACTTGTTGCAGGGACTATGATAGTTTGCCATGACATTATAATAGCTTAAATTGTAGTATCATAAAACAAATGTAGCCTGAGAGCAATGAATTTTATAGCAAACCTTCTTTTACTCATCTTAAAATGAAAATCAACTGAAATGAATATTTTTGCAGGTATTCTTCAGATTCCATATGGCTGACAAAGTGGAAAGCACTTCTGTGCAATATGATCCAGCTTTGGGCGAGGAAGAATGTGCTGTACCAGCACAATCTGTGTCGTGGTTGGGAGTTTTGGGCAAAGTAAGTTGTTAAATGTGTCCCATGGTCATAACTCATAAAATTTAAGCTGTCAGCACCAGTGATGTAGCATGAGGGGAGACAGGGTCGACACTGTCTACCCAAGGAAAAGAATAATCTTCAAAATATTTTATATGTAAATATTTTTATTTTTTACTGATACAATATCACCTGTTATTGCCTTGATAAGGAGCTTGATAAACACAAAGACAGGGGGGGAACTGGGGCATCATGACCTTATTTCAAGATCTATCTTTGAAGAACATATTTTGTGAAGGAAAAAGTCTTTCTTCAATATTGTAGGTGAAGGATGGCGCCGAGTCGTCGTCGTCTTCGTCGTCTTCTTCTTCTTCGTCTTCGTCTTCGTCTTCGTCTTCTTCTTCTTCGTCTTCTTCTTCTTCTTCTTCTTCTTCGTCTTCTGATTCTTTTGTTGAACTTTGTTGTATTTCATAATTTTTGAAGCAAGTACCATTTAAAGGAATATTAAAATGATGAAACCACGGGAAAATACTTTAAAAAATGCAAAAGTAATGTAGAAAGATTGCCTAATAAAATCGCCCGGAAATAAGTATTCTATTTCATTAAAATCATCCCCTTGTTAAAAATAATTATTTTGCATCAAATTGAGTTGCTTATTTCTAAATTGTTGCAGTCAATAAATTCGGCTAAGTATCATTTGTTTTTCCAAAATTAGCACATTGCGATTTTCAAAATTAGAGTAAAAGATCTCTTATTTATAGAAAAATTCATATTGAGTATTAGTTAATGGTGAATTATAGCAAAAGATTATGGACAGTTCAAATACTCGTTAAAATATAATGCATAGGCTTAAACTGTTATGTTGTGCTTGTGAGACTGCCGAAACAATGCAAGCTGTTAGTAAGTGTGGAGGCATTCAAACCCTCCAAGTCATCCACCGATTTTCTATACATCTTCTATTTACCCCTAATTGTAACGAAGAAACTGTGTTTACGGCACAAGTAGCTGAGAGAGGAGTTTCAGATATTGTCTCAGGAGATTGTAGAGTTTTAGTAATGGATTTTCAGTTCATTTTGAAAGGATTTTCATCTATTCTTTATGTTATATTTACTTTGTTAAATTTTCTGCTTTTTTGTCTGCTAAAATATTGATCTCTCTAAAGAATTTGACTTCATTGTTTCCTTTTATTTTCATGAATTTACTATTTAATATTAGACATGAATTTTAGAAGTAAAGTGTTGTTTAATAAGAAACTAAGAAGTGAAATATAAGATTTGTACTCGAGTAGATTGAAATATTTGCAAATTCGGCTGGAGTTCAATGATTGGATCATTAGCACCATGCTACTTCTGTTTGGTAAACTACCGTTCTTGTTGAGTCAATACAGATTCTGTAGCTGTCTTATTGGGAATTTACACTTTTTACTGCCCAGCAGTTGTTTTAATAAAATTGTATGAAAAATTGACCTCCACTTGAATGTTTGTATTTGTTCTCTTGTTTTTTACAGGGCAAGAAATATTTTCATTGTTGAACTTTACCTCTGTTGTGCTTTTGAATAGTGATATATGTTCAATCAATATTTATGTTTCTTTAGGAAAATTTCCTGATTCGCGTTTTTTTGTGAATTTTGCTGATACACGAGTAGTGAGTTTATAATAGTTTTCTCTGAAGAAAATTCCGGAGTAATTTTATGAAGAAAGACATGTGAATAATTTTAGAAATTTGAACTTTAAAAAAAATATTTTGTATTATTTATAATTGAAAAACAAGAGATAAATGTAATTAATTTCTTCTTATTCAGAAATTTCAAGTTGTTTCAGGTCAATTTTACTGAAAAAATTATTTTACATATTAACGTTTCACTTTTGTACCTGGTCAAGAGGTAATCACTGGCGTCGGTTTCAGGCAAAACCTATTGGCAGGTCTGTGTTAAACTCGCTACAACCCGGAAAGGGATCAATTATGTACAAACCAAGCCATTGAAAGCCTATATTGTATGTTCAGATTATTTTTTGGTTTTCCCATATTTTTAATTCTAGAGTAAGGTAATTAATGGTAATAAATGCTTTGGTGCCTTTCCAATATTAAATATATTTTTAATGTTAGTGTTCCTTTAAGCCAGCCAGTACTTGTTTCTTAAAAATTAATGTAAAACAAAATGTTTTTTAGTTATAATTAGTATTATAAATTCCAATTGTTTTTATTTTGATTATGCCAGTAGTGGCTAATCCGATGTTGTGGATCGTAATATCATATCATTAAAATTTTCAGTTGCCATGCTGTCTTACAGGTGGACTGTTGGAATGTGGGTCCGATTCCCATCCGCTACATATGCGGTTGTGAGTGGCCAGGCATGGGAAGGCATCTTTGCCCAGCCGTGCTGAGATGCTTCCCTGTGTTTGGTGTTCTTCCAACAAAAAGTGCCCTGTCTACTTCATGGTGGCCAATGCATGCTTATTCTTTCGCTGATTGCATACTGAATATTAGCCCGTGCTGTAAGTGTTTGGATTCCTATTGAAAATACGTAGTTCGTAAACCAAGACTGATTGAAGTGTCTTGTATAATAGTATTCCTAACATACAAATAGTTTTATTCTTAAGCTTCTAGAAATAGAGACTCGGAATGAGAGAAGCTATTAACCAGTGTTGGTGTGCCGTCTCTTGCATAATATTTTAAGTTGCCAAAGGTATATCTTTTGACGGATGTTGTATTACATACTCAGCTGGTGTCTTATTTAGGAAGTGGAAAATTAAAGTTCTGCGATAGCAAGTGAATAGTTCTGAACTTTTTTATTCAAAATAATTGCATTACTTATTCTTCTCAAGATTAGTATTTCATTTTACTAATTTCATTCTAAAGAAATTGCAGTAAATTGCCTCCTCTAAAGATGTTATTTGTATGATCATCAGATAGTTGTCTCTGTAAGATGAGAATTTTATTTAAACAACTTGTTACCTAGACATTTTTTTAGGATTTTTGCCTAATATCTACAGGGAATGTGGGGATTGTGGGTTCATCATCTTCAAAACCAGTTACCAGCTTTCATCCTTGTGATTACTATATGGACGAGTAAAGTCTCTTGCTCATGGACTGAGTCAGGCCTCCCATTAAAATTTATGTTGTAGCAAACAGATCTGTGGAAAAAAATGTGCAGGGACAACACTTCCAACATCTGTTATGATTGTGAGATGGTTATTCCAGTTCTCTTTTTTGTAACACTGCAAGCTCATGCCTATCAACATATTTTTTTATTTAGTATATAATATTTAGATTTATTTATTGCCCGTGACACCACTTTTTATTTGGCTTTATTTAGTCAATAAATTCTCAGTACAATTCCCAGCTTCTGAGAGATGATTGAGGGCAATAAACATGGTGTTGATATCAGAGAGATGGGCTGATGTTTCAAATCTTGCTTGGACATGGAATATTGTATGCATGTGTCCTTGACATGATGGATCTCACTGCCTTGCATCATTTTCCCTAGCCTGTCTGGTATATATGGCTCCATGAACATGTAAGCATGGCAACTGACAGTCATTCCTTGTGCTGTCTCCCTCTGGCCACAGCTGGCTCTACCTGATGTGGCCTTGTTCCTCTATTCCATTATCTAAACTACTCATTTACTCCATGGCTTCACTCTTGTAAATGTATAGCAAGACACATTGAATCATTTGGCCAGGCCACTCAGTGATGGAAAGGAGGATTTGTAGCACAATGGTAGCCACACGCTAAGAGAAAGAGCTGTCATCAGCAATTGGAGTGTATACAACCACATGAGAATGTTTGTGTAAACCTTGGAGACGGTAGAGATAACTACGTCTTACTACCCACATGCATACAAATCTCAGTAAAATTCATAATGTTTACTGCTTTTCTATGATTTGGATTTTTTGTAAATTTACAGCGCCAATTCTCTCTCTAATAGTCTCATGGTAGCGCCACTATGACTCCTTTTCTCCAGTCTTCTACTCTGTATTCTTTTTCATCGGACCTTTTCTACGTTCATTGTCTTTCATTCATTTTATAAGAGTTTGTATTAATGATGTGTGTATTTTCACCAATTGGTTGAAGAAAAGAGACTACTTGTAATGATTGGTAAAAAGAAGCATTTTAAATTTGAATATTATATATCATAAGCATATATTGTAATTTGAGGAGTGCAAGTAGTGTAGAGGTTATGTACATCACTTTGGTAACATCTGCATTGCATAAAGTTTTTGAATGCTATATGCAGAGAAAATTTTGGACCCCCTTGTGTATGCAACTTAATTGAGACAGGATTGTTCAGCTTGGAGAATTTTACATTGTCAATTTTGTAGCTCTATTTATTTTCTTTTACTGGACAGGTAATGTTTTCATCCTTAAATATGGAATGTGGAATAATTTTAATACATTGATCACAGCAATGTTTATGAGAAAGTATTAGTAGAGAAAATGAACATTTTTTATCCAGTGTTTATTGATGTAGAGATAATTTAATTGGTTGCAACTGTTTATACATCAGTTAAACATTTATTTCAGTGAGGAAGCATGGTTTCAAATTGAGTGCGAGCAGTGCAAGTTCTTCTTTTATTTCCATCATAAAAAAATGACTTAGTCAATTCAATCTGCTTTCGTGTACAAATTTTCTATGAAAGAAGATTAATGCAGTATCAATCTGGGAATACGCCCTATCTATATTTTGTTAAAAGATAACTCTTGTAGCGCGCAAAAAATATTTTGAAAAGTGTTGTCAGAAATATTATTGCTAACTGTTCAGAATGTAATGTAACATTGTTGTTATTTACTTGTTGATAAAATACATTGTTACTTGTAATGACGATACTGTGTTGCAGGGATATGACCTTTTGCCATGAATTATAATAGTTAAATTGTGTATCATAAAACAAAATGTAGCCTGAAGAGCAATGAATTTATAGCGCAAACTTCTTTTTACTCATCTTAGAATGAAAATCAACTGAAATGAATATTTTTGGCAGGTATTCTTCAGATTCCATATGCTGACAAAGTGGGAAGCACTC